CACGCAGGCTTACGATCGTGTTGCTACGGCAACGCAACGACACGCAGGCTTACGATCGTGTTGCTACGGCAACGCAACGACACGCAGGCTTACGATCGTGTTGCTACGGCAACGCAACGACACGCGGGCTTACGATCGCGTCGCAAAACCGTCGCCATGTCTCTAACGTAACTAGACGATGCGCTCGCGCGCGTGCATTTAATCACGGTTAATTAATCAATTATAGCATTTAATCACGGTTAATTAATCAATTATAGCATTTAATCACGGTTAATTAATCAATTATAGCATTTAATCATTGCTTTATTTATTCATCATATTTATCATTATATTCACCAGATGATTCCCTGTGTAATATCACGTCCGCACACGAACACGAATCCTCCCTCACTCCCGCCATCATGTTACACATAAAACAAAAGAACATTCTACAGCACCCCCTGGTTACCGTGGCGGCGCTCGTCCCGTCAGACAGAGCTTGGGGACGGGAAGCGTTTCCGTGACGATCGGTGTTGATGTTGACAGTGTGAACATCCCTCGCCCGAGAGGTAGCGCCATTGTGCGCTGACAGATGGACAGCAGGTGGCGCTCCTGTTCCTCAATGAACTCATGATCGCTGTGGGAGACAGAGGAGATAGCATGTGAGTGAGATATATGAGATAGCATGTGAGTGAGATATATGAGATAGCATGTGAGTGAGATATATGAGATAGCATGTGAGTGAGATATATGAGATAGCATGTGAGTGAGATATATGAGATAGCATATGTGAGTGAGATATATGAGACAGAGCATGTGAGGGAGATATATGAGATAGCATGTGAGTGAGATATAGAGACAGCATGTGAGTGAGATATATGAGATAGCATGTGAGTGAGATATATGAGATAGCATGTGATACGTATGAAATGGCGTGGGACATACAAATATCATCTACAAATAGAGAGGAAGACAAAGAATAAGAGGAACAAAGAGAAGAAGAAAAAGACGATAAAAATGCCATCTTAACTTTCTGACCTTGCACGAGCGTGACCTTGGCCATGGCTTGACCTTGCCTGACATCGAATAAATGCACTAGTGTGACCTTGACCTTACCTGACCTCTGGTCGCTGTACCAGCGTGACCTTGACTGGGCGGGCGGACTGGAGCAGCTTACGGACCTCAGCCACGCGCAAATCTTCTCCAAACTGCAGTTTGAGCGCCTGAAAATGTATTTTGTTCAATTTACCCATTTTTTTATAGATTTAATTTTAGTATGATGACAAAAGTGATGTGAGTATTTTAGTGCGGTGGGTTACAATCAACGTGTGTCATAACACGATGTCACGCACTGATACATGCACTCATGGCAATGCATGCACGCATGCACGCATGCACGCACATACGCACGCACGCACGCACGCATGCACGCACATACGCATGCACGCACATACGCGCGCACGCATGCACGCAGAGCCTG